TGGGGCCCATGCGGGTCTATAACTACATGTGCATTTCTTTATGCTTGTGCATGCATATATTGTGGTATATGTGTAGGGGCATTTTTATAATAGTTCAGTTTGCTTGATTATGCAAGCAAATATCATTTGAATGCAGCGTTGTGCGCTATTTTAGAGGTTGTAGATGTCTTCTGTCCGCTTGCATGAGTGTTGCGGATCTGATGGCGTGGCGTAGCAGCTTGTGGATTGAGCTGTTTGCTACTTTGTACAGGTAGACTGACGTGCACTACTTGTTACTTCCTACAGGTAGCTTATTATGCACTAATGAATCTCCTGTTATTGTCCGTGAGTAACAACATTCATTGCAGTTTTCTTGTACTTGCTCACATATAACATGTCGTATGAACAATAAATTTCCTACAACAATTCGTGGGCATTTGCATTTGTTACAATCACATTACATTTTTTCTTGTGGACAATACATTAGGTGTATAACGGGTCTTTGAAAATTTGTATTTGTTATGTATCCTCTTCTTTTAGTGGTAGAGGACCGGTGTGTTTGTCTACGATTGAATAGTATTAATTGCATGAGAGTTATATTCTCTTCGAACTATTCAAACACACCATGTCTTTCAGTTCATCACATGTTGAATTCCCCTGCTTGTAGGTGACAAGTGCATCTACTTGCCACTACCTTATTACAAGCTGTATAAGTATCTTAGCACTTGTTGCAGGCTCCTTGTATCCTTCTTGTAGATGACATGTTGTCTGTACAGCTGGTCTTCTACCATTACTCACAGGTATTTGCATTTGTTATACATCATCTACTACTGCCTGTAGAGGACCAATGTATTTGATTGTTGCTACATAATTATTGAGTGCAGGGGTGTTGCAACAGCTCGTGAGTATTTGCATTTATCACCATTCTTCAGGTACTTGATTATAGACAATATGTTAAGCATATGATGGGTCTCTTACAACTGTTCATGGGAACTTACATTCGCCATTGATCTCTTTCTATGCATCAATTGCGAGAGCACCTGTTACATATTTCCTACTCATGTTTGTAGGGAATCCATTGCATTTAGAACTCATTCAATGTTGTCGCCCGCTGGTGGGTTATTGTACTTGCTTATGAGTTGTCCGGCTTTGATAGCAAGACTTTATATAGATAACTATGTATTAATTCTGACCACGAGATGCTACATTTATTATTTGTTGATATTCTAGATTCCTCTTATTATTTCATTGATATTCATTTTAAGGCTTTATTCGTTGCTTGTCAATGAGTGGCATTTTGATATTTATTTGCTATGAGCTAACTGATCATTGATGGGTATTTGAATTTGCTACAGCTCTTCTGTATTTACTTGTGGACAGTATTTTGTGCACATGATGAACTTTTGTAGTAGCTCGTACGAGGGGTTAGAGTTCTTGTTGTATATTTATCTTCTTTGCTTGTGAACAGTATGATGCATTCGTATGAAAGAATTATCATAACCAATGCATGTCGGCCCTCGTTATTCATTGCTTGCGAAATTCAATACACTTAATTTTATGCTAACATTGACTGCATAATGACATATCTATTGCACATTTTTTGTGTATATTGTTCATGAATGTATATAGTCATTCATTGTACTCATCCATTTACATTTATTAATTGATTGGCAAGGGAAGCATTGGCATTCATTTTATGTTCTTCATATATTCTTCATGAATATGCTATCCATGATCAAGGTGATTTGTATACCATTATGTTATATGCCCCCTTTAGATTGATTGTAGCTTGCTAAAATTAGCTCATAAGCATGTTTAGCAATTTATCATGGGCCTTCTTATTACTCATTAATCTTCATATTGTTTGTTACCTCTAAATGGGATGTAGACTTCATCCATTGTGAGTCATTGCTAATAAGCAAGCTATTACATTCTCAATTTGATTTGTTAATTCTCATTTGTTTGATCAAAGTTATCATTTGGTTTAAACATTTTCACTTTGACTGTATATTCATTAATTTGAAGTTCGATTCCTTGCATTATTCATTTGAGCTCAAATCTCCCATCTAATTCAGTTTAAATTCTTCTTGATCAAGTTTGATTCAAGTCTTTCGTTCATTTATTCAAATTTGAGTTTAGTTCATTTAATGTTCAAATTCAAGTCCAAGTCTTTGTCATTTCGTCCAAATCAAGTTCAATAGTCCCCTGTTAATTTTTCCAAGTCCTTGTGCGTTTTAGACGAAATTTCAGCATCCTCACAACGTCTCTCCCATTTTGGTAAAATTCCAAGAGTCATATCATACCCGCCACGTCAAGAAAGGTGTGCACGATCGGTGTCGGGTGACACCACAGTCGCAGTCTTCATCCCCACCACACCAAGAAAGACGTGCATGGGTCTTTGAAAGTACATGTCTAAAAATGCAATTTTTCCCCGCCACGCCACATGAGCGCTTAAGGATACTTAGATTTTGCCCCACCGTGCCAAAAAAATGCGCACAAGACTCGCCTGCATTGCCGTAAGCACGCATCGAGTTCCCCCTCATCACACTAAGAAAAGCGTGCATAGGGGGTCCCTCAGCGGACTACAAATGCCAAAAATAGGATTTTCGGTACTTAATTATAACTAATTATTATTAATAGTAATTAAATATAATTAAAAATAATAAATTATAGTTAATATTAATTAATCATAACTAACTATTATTAACAATAATTAAATATAATTGAAATAATTTATTTTAATTAATTAGAAGAGTAGGATTTATGCTAAAGTTGAGCAGGATTAAAGCCGGATTAGAGCAGGATTTTTGTACAGGATTTATGCAGATTGAACTAAATCCTGTCGGGATTTAGAAATTTGTGCAGGATTTGAGCTAAATCCCGATAAACATGCATTAAGGAACTGATAAATCTCATTGCTAGTGAAATTCTCCTTTTCCTCTTCTCGATTCAGTGAAGAGATTTAGTGGATTTACAGGATTAGGCCGAAGTAGCGCACGGAAAGAAGGTTACCTTCACTGCGAGCAAGCTCCTGTCATTCCATCCAATCCAAATGTCATAACTTTCGGTCCTGTAAGGAAGGGGCATTGTCGAAGGAGCGAAGTTGACCAACAACGAAGGGGATGAAGAGGTGAGGAGTCGGAGCTAGGGTAAGCTGACGGCAGAGGGATTTCGGTAGGTATGAGGTAGAGGCGGATTAGGCAAGGAGAATGCTCTCTCTCTCTCTCTCTCTCTCTCTCTCTCTCTCTCTCTCTCTCTCTATCTATCTATCTATCTATCTATCTCTGTGGACCAGAGGATTGGGCAAGGATCGGAAGGTGGAGAGGGCTATTGAGTTTGGTAGGTGCAGGTTGAGGAAGAGAGGAGCTGTGCAAGGAGGTCAGATGTGGGAAGGTCGGGGTTTGCAAATGGAAGAAATCGCGTGGGAGAAGAAGAAGAACGGAAGTCTTCATTCAGTCACCCTTTTAATGACGATGAATGCAGAACAAAGCTTGTGGGATCGAGGAAGTCTATGCATGTGGGATACAACATTTTGGTGCCCTTTGAACAGGGCAAGGGCTACCGACTACAACAGGTTTTACCATTTTTTTATTCTCTTTTTTTTTTTTTTGTCACGGTCACAAAGGTCAACAGATCAATTGAGAATGTATATGAAGATGATCCTGATTTTATAGATGGTAGCTTAATATAGATTATGATGAGGATGATGATCAGCTTGTATTTGTCCAATTGATTGAGATTGCACGAGCCTAAACCTTGGTCTTCTATAGTGATTAGCATTGAACTAAAGTTCACTTATAAATACAATTTCTGCTCCTAAACCACTTCAGATATAATAAAGGACGATCCTTTGTTGGCATTATCACTTCCAACTTTAATATTAATTATTGACATTAAGTTCAACCTTCCACTTATAGCCTAGATTTGCTACCAAAAGATAATATCATGCATTCCATATTAGAGTCAACTATCAGCTTTTTGCATTTATTTTGATATGTTGCTAACAAATTTATTCCTTTACATCTTTTTGGCTCCACAAGATGACTTCAAATATGTACGTGAAGAAGTTCATCACAGCTTTCTTCATGGTATACAAGAACTTTACAAGAGATAGGTCTACCCAACATATGGGGAATTGATGGAGGACAAATAAGATTAGGATTTATTTTTAAACAAAAGGCAGCCTTCTAATGGCCAGGTTAGGAATGTAGATGTATTAGATTTGTCTTATGTTAAGAAAGGTAGAGGAAGATCTAAATAGACTTGGTTAGAAAATATTAAAATGATCTTTCTTTTTTAGATTTAAATGAGAATTTGACTCTTAACAGAACAATGGAGAAAAAGGATTCATGTAGCCGACCTCACATAGTGGGATAAAGACTTGATGTTGTTATTGTTGTTGTTGTTGTTGTTGTGATTATAAATAATTGAGCATTATTAGTTGCATTTCTTCTGAAGAAGAAATCCAAAACCACCGCAAAGTTGGGGAGTAGAGAAATGTTACCAAGACAAACACTCTTGTTAGTTGCACTAAAAGCCTAGCAGGCTGATGAGTGGCCATGTATAATAGAAAAATTCATTTAAAAAAAGAGAGACTAGTTGGAATAAAGTTAAACCCAAATGTACGTCTATGAAGTCTCAAAACATAGATATAAACAAATTAAAAATACTGCATGCACGGAGTTCCAATCAAATAAATAAATAAAATAAAATAAAAACTATGACATTGATGACGTTAGTGGTATCATCTTATACTGATGCAAAGGACTGGGAAATCCCAGCGATTAAAAAGGTAGAAGCCGCTTCGCCAAAACCTTATCTTCTGGTTTCACACTGATGAGCATGAGAACATGACAATGTTTTTAAGGCTACAAATATGCCAAATCAATTTAGAGTGTTGGTCATATAAGTAATATCTTAATATTAATGTAAGCCTTTCTAACATTTGCATCCATTTGTAGCCCAACACAATCCAATCTTCTAACAAAATTATCACAGAATGTCATGAAACTGTATACTACCTTCAATCGAAGTGGCGTTTGATGATTCCCCGGAATTGGCAGTTGCAACCTGTGTGCAACAAATAATAAACTTTTCAAAAAAACATAGAATCAACAAGTACATAGTTAGCATTTCAACAAAGAATATTAGAATGTAGTCATAAGAAAATGCTTAAATATCATTCGTGGAAGAGAAACTAAAATGTATGTGATGAATTATATACCCAATAGCTTATAATGATCATATACAAGAAAAGCCGTGACAAAATCACTTTAATATGCAGTTCCACATCAGGATGTGATGAAGCTTTCTCATACAGCTTCAAGTATGTTTGAGTAAGAACCCATCCTCCAACCAATTCATTTCTACCAGAAGAAAAAGATGACGAGGGTAGGGATAACAGTGTGAAAAGTTGAAAACATTAGGGAATGGTGGGAGAAAGGTGATGCGCAAAATAAAGGCTTTCTAAGAAATAGCAAAATACATACACAACCTTCCAAAATACTTTACTTAGACCAAATACAACAATTAAATGATAAACAACTTCACTTTTATAATAGAAAGACACTTACAAACTTATCCCATAAAACAATTCAAAACAAATCCTAAACTTGCATTCCATCGCTTGAGAAGAAAGATATAAGTGAGGTGGAAGCTTGCGGAGAGAAGAAAGAGATAAGAAGCCCGAGACGAAATATAGCTCGCAAGCTATTCCAAAAGAAGAAAAACCCTCAGGTTTTTTTCAATTCCAAAAATCAGACACATAACACACCTATTTTCTCTTACAAAACATCACATATTTATAGGGGAAATGGGGGCAGCCAAACAGCCACCATAACCACCTTCATTTAAATCAAATTAAAGGGGAAATGGAAGGCCAAGGGGCTGTCCAAAAATAGCACCCAAATAGCCACAAAAAGGCCAGAATTTATTCCAAAACAGCACCCAAAAAGACCACACAGAAACCAGGAAAAACAGCCATGGGACAAGCAACCAGGGGAGGAACCGATGGAGGAGAGCAACCACGGGACAAGCAGCAAGGGAAGGAACCGAAGGGGCAGCACAGGGAGCGGAACCAGCAACCAGGGAACCAAAACAGACAACCAAAAGGGCAGGAACCAGCCACGGGATGGGCAACCAAGGGGAGGAAACCAAAGGGCCATGTGGGCTCCAAAAATTCGGCCCCGGCCTCAGCTCGCTCTTCTTTTTATTCGGCGAGGGAGTTTTAACTGAATAAGTTCTGAGGTAAATTTTGGAAGGCAGATTTCGGGGACTCAACGATTTATAGGTATTTTTTTCTATTTCATTTGGGCTCATCTGTAAAGGTCAACAAATGCCCCCCAACAAATGTGATACGCTTCTAGAGCGAATCACGTTTGTTGTATGCTGTTTGACCCTGTGGATCTCTAGATATTTGTTCTAGATGTCACACAAGGGATTTTATTTAGTGGATCTTGTTGACCTCAACGTAATAACCAAAAGATCAAAAAATATGCATACCTCGTATCCATCGAGCTGCTGCCCAAAATTCCGGATATCCCGCAAACCTCGGACTGAAATCCCGTGAATCCTGCCGAAGTCTCGCCGAGACACTGTGCAGCAGCGCCGTTCCGGGATTTCTGCCAAAATCCCGTGACAGCTCCTCGTTCCTCGCCTTCTCCACGCCTATAAAACGAACCGTTCGCTCTCTGCTCTTCCATTCCCGACTCTCCTCTACGCTTCTCCTCCAGCTCACACGACCGAACCTCTCTCCCGATACTTAACCAGAGCTCTTCCTCCTCTCCTCCTTGTCCAACCACAGCTCCGACCCCCCGCCTGTGACCGAGCCTGTCCCGATCTCCACCGAAGCCAACGTCCCCACTCGACCGAAACTCTCTCAATTCCATTCTTCGATCCCTCGCCCCCTCCGCGCGGCTCTGCTCCTCCGACAGGCTTGCCCTGTCTGTCGGATCGGAAGTTTGGCATTTTGATCGGAAGTTACAAACGGGAGCTCGCTCGGTGTGAGCCTTGGCTGTTCGGCTTTGCTCTTCCACCGACTTTCCCTTCCAGTTGAGTCGGAAGTTCCGACATCTTGATCTGAAGCTAAAACGGGAGCTCACTGGTTGCATAGGTAACTTTCTCCCATTCGCAGTCTTCTTCGGCCAAATCCTGAAATCCGCCAAACCGAGGGATTTAGTAAATTCGGGATTTAAGCCGTAAATCCTTAAATCCGGGATTTACCCATTGCCGGGATTTAAGGTGCGCACTGAAATCGTTTGGCTAGCTTTAGCCTAAATCTGGCCAAATCCTCTGAGTCCGTCGAACCGAGGGATTGTATGAAATTTTTTTTTTATATAATTAATTATAATTATAATTTCGTATGGACGAAAATATCTTCCAGAACCAGATCGTCCTGGCACATAGATTAATTTTGTCTGACGAAATTTTCCAGAGGTCCGCAACGCCATTGAGATATTTTAATTTCGTCTGGACGAAAATTTTACAGAGAACCTATCATCCTGGACGATTGTAATTCATCCTGGCTAGGACTTAGAAAAATTTTTAAGCAAGTACCTATTGTGTTCATGTGCTCAATAGGAGATAATATGTCTGATCATTCCCGTACGACGTATATCGTCCAG